TGAATTGCCAACCCTCCCTTGGCCTTAGTTTTTCATCTTTACAAGTGAGAATAACAGTGGTCCTGTCTGGTTATGCGTTCTTGCTCCTTAGACATTATACTAAGGTATTTAGTATTCTTTTTTTTTAAAGTTTATTTATTTTGGGGAGTGGGAGCGAGGAAGAGCCACACTGTCAGTTCAGAGCTGGATGGGGGCTCAAACTTAAGAACTGCGAGGTCATGACTTAAGCCAAAATCAGGAGTTGGACATTTAACCAACTGAGTCACCCAGATGCCCTGGAACCCAGTTACTTTAACTGAGTCACATATCAGACCTTGGACACTGTTGTTTTGATGACAGGTGTCCTTTGGGAAGATCTCTGCTTACATCGTCCCTGAAAAGACTGTGGTTTTCCTCTTCATCTCTGTGCTATGTATTTTGTTTCAGAGGTCTGAAAAGGTAGTCTTAAAAATATTGGGAAATCTTAGATTTATAAATGTCTAATACTTTCCAAAATGTATATTAAACCTACCAGACTACTTAAGGTGAAAGTAGTTTATTCAGGCTTTAAACCTGAACAGCAGTAATAACTTTGATATATAAAACCACTCTAATTATTTTTATTGTCTAACACTCCTGTGTACTAGGTATGCATTTTTAAATTAATTTCCTTCATAACCATTTGTGTTAGGTAATTTTATTTTCCTCACCGTACAGAGGAGAAATAGGAGGCTAAAAAGAATATAAGTAGTAGAGTCAGGTTTTGAATATAGTCTGTCACACTCCAGAGTCTGATTGCTTAACTGTGATAGTAAATCACCTCTCCCTGGGTTTTGGGATCTTAATGTTATTTAAAAATAAAAGGGGAAACACTTATGTATCATTGTTATGTGATGGCAGTCAGGACAAGAGTTGTGTAGCCCAGGCCTCCGGAGGAACTGAAACTGGAAGTCCTCGAGAATCAGAGCCAGTTCCTGGTGCTGTTTCTTTCTCGCTGTGTCTCTTTAATTTTTTTCTCCCTTGCGTTTTGACTTCTGTATGTGGTTCGTCTCGACTGTTCATAAAGTGGTACCTTCGACACCAGTTTCCTTATCACCTTAAAAATCCAGAACCATCACCAAGTGACCTAGCCTTTTATGGTCAGAATTGCAGTTTCTTGTGAAATACAATCCTTTCATCCTGATCATGCTCTGGATTGTTTTCTTCTGGGTCAAGTGTCCATCCCTTAGTCACAGGGCTGTGGCAGTGGGTGATAGGTTGAGGAAGGATGAGCTACACTGATGTTGGCAGGGAAAGAGGTACAGACTGAAAAGGGCCCTCAAATATGACTACACTAGTCTATATCAGACTTTGTTAAGCGCTACCAAAAAATTAACAGCACTAATAGAAAAATACAAATGCAAATATAATAAAAACAAAAAAATACATTTCATCACAATATAAAATATAAACACAAAATACAACGAATATATATATTAGACATACAAGGAACTGAAATCAGCTTATCATCTAAAAGTTAACTTCCTGAAACTGGGTATGTAAATGCCGTGATGGTACTGGAAGAATAGATTTAAAAGAATCATCTAGGTGAATGTTTTTGAAAAGAGTATTCAGTAGTCATTTATTTGAGTACTTCTGTATTTGTATTGTCAATTCAGACTTTCCTATGGTAGGTTTAATTAGGTGCATAATTGGATATGTTTACCCAGGAACTCTAATGTAATTTGCAGTACATTATTTGAAGATTTACCTCATAGAATTTCAGAGTCTTTTCCAATTTCTTAATTCAAAGATTTCAACAAATAAGAAATGTTTGTCCTTTTCTCATGCATTTCCAGTTATTGGTAACTGCTCTTAAAATTTCTTCTGTTAGCCTGTCTCATTTCTACAATTTATACTTCTTTATGAAGTCATAGAAAAGTTTGAACAGTCAGAATGGTTGGTAGGATATTGGAAAGAGTTTATCAGAAGCTGACGAGTTTTAGTATGTTTGGTTGAGTTAAAAAATTTCCAGCTTAATTTCAACATAAGGTAATTCTAGTGTTTTCTAGTCACATTTGTGATCAAAATGTTGAAGACATAGGAGATATAGACTACGCTTTTATGTGGTTTGTTATGAATTGTATTATCTTGGGGTCAAGTTTTAAAACAGAAGCATATCTTACTTTTTAAATGATGATTCCAGGGAAAATATAACTCTGTTCATTTATTTAGTTTTGACCCAACTTTCTTAGAAACCAGATAGTTCTTTTACATTAAGTGAGCTATTGATAATCTTCATCAGCTTTTTTTAAATTGCTTTTTGATCCCTTAATTCTTTTATTTATTTTATTTTTAAGTGTTTATTTTTTAAGAGAGAGCAGGAGGGGGGAGGGGCAGAGAGAGACAGAATTCCAAGCAGGTTCCACCTGTCAGCGCAGAAGTCCAGTGTGGGGCTCAGTCCCAGGAGCTGTGAGATCATCACCTGAACTGAAGTTAAGAGTCGAGTGCCCAACCAGCTGAGCGTCCGAGGCACCCATTGCTTTTCTTCTGTGAAGCACGTATTTTGGCAGATATCTCTACACATTGTAGGCTTTCTAAAATGACTCACTAGCTAGAATGCCTTATCTAATCCATGTATGGAAATTAGCTTATTTTCCAAAATAGATTGATCCTAAAGCCACAGAACTCTTTTAGATTGTGTTCATGTGATGTAGAGAATTTCCGAGGAGATTGTTTTTCTCTTTTTCATGTATCACAAATATGAAACAGTTGCCATATGTTCCAAGTGGCTGGACTCTTTCCAATGCAGGCTTCCTCCCTGCTTGTTTCATCATCATGCTTTTCAATATAGAATTTCTCTCTAGCTCCTGAACCTTTTCCATGCTAGGGGCAGCTTCTGAACGTCTCAGTGGCATTGACTTTTTCAGGCATACCTACTAGATTTTGGAGGTATCAGGAAGAGCAAAGAGGAACGGGCAGAAAGAGGAAACTAGAAAATATGAAATAGAAATAGGCAAGAGTTGGAGCAATGAGGCAGGCTTCTTTAAAAGTCACTTTTAAAAACGGTATTTAGAAAACAAGAGTGAGGCACTACGTAGAACAGCAGAATACATAAGTAATAGACCTAGGTACCTGCTTTTCAAATTATCTGTGGTGAAGGACCAGAGTTTTCATTTCCAATTCATTACGGATAGGGCCTACATGGTAAATACATTTGTCATGAGCTTGGGTCAGATTTTTTTTGAAAATGTGTAATTGCTATAAAGGTTTCTAAATGGCTTCTCTCCATTTCTATACATGTTGTAGACGGGCATCAGCTTGCTGCCTGACACCAGTCCCACGACCACGTGTTGAGTGGTAGTGTTGATCCTAAAATGTTTTTTCTTATTTTATAACCGAGGTTATTAAAGCTCAGAAAAGTGAAATGATATTCCAGTGTTACACAGCTATTATTATTATTATTATTATTTTTTTTTTTTAGTTTCAGTAGAAAACAATACAAAAATAAAACTTGCCCTTTGAAGATGATGTTCGTTGTCAGCATATAAAAGTCAGAAAAATATGCCTCGGGGGTTCGGAGTTCTAGGGAGTTGGGATTTTCACTTTCTGAATTATGGATTTCTGAAATAATCTTTTATATGATCTTATATTTTTAAAATTGGAAAAATTGATAAAGATACCGAGTAAAATAATACCAAAACAAGAAACATCAGAAATGAGATAGAAAAAGCATAATAATATAAAAAAATATTTGTTTCATATAATTAGAGTAATGAGTTTATATGGGGAAAGTGTCAAGGGATCAGGCCTAAAAGATTGTCAGGGATAGGACTGGGAAGTGGTATATAAGCCATAACATAAACAGTAGTTTCCTATTTGCTTGGGAGACAGTGGGGAACATCTGAAGGATTTTGTGTAATGAAGTAACTTTTTAGCAAAGAAAATTTTAGTACATTCTATTTTATTTATTTTTATTAATTTTTTAAAAAATATTTATTTATTTTGGGAAGGGGCAGAGAGAGAATCCCAAGCAGTCTCCATGCTGTCAGCCCAGAGCCCGACACAGATCTTGAACCTGTGAACGGTGAGATAATGACTTGAGCCAAAATCAAGAGTTGGATGCTCAACTGAGCCACCCATGTGCCTCTCTACATATATATTTTAAAGTAAGATTAATGGAGGATCTATTTCAGTCTAATAAAACACTTTAGTTCTGACCACTGTAGTCAAATGCCTTTCAATTATGAATAATCACCTCAAAGGTAGGTGAACACAGAAGTACGAGTTAGTAGTTAGATTAGTATTCATTGTGTTTTGAAACACCCCATTACTAAGTATTTGGTAAAAATGCACAATATTGAGGCAGTATGCTGTGTTTTTGAGCATAACAGACTGCTTGGGTTGGAAACTTAGCTCTGTTGTTTGTGATTTTTTTCAACCTTGGGCAAATTATTTTACTTCTTTGGGTCTTAGTTTTCTCATCTATAAAATGGAAATACATAATACAGAACTGTCAGTGAAGTTAAAAGACTGTGTGTGTGTGTGTGTGTGTGTGTGTGTGTGTGTGTGTGTGTGTGTAGACATACTGTGTAATGTAAAATAGTACCTGGTACTATTTAGTACCTGAGCACTAAATAAGTACTTGCTCTTTTAAAAGTTTATTTATTTTGAGACAGAGAGAGAAGGAGAGAGAGAATCCCAAGTAGGCTTTGCATTCTTAGCATGGAGCCTGACATGGGGCTCGAACCCATGAACTATGAAATTATGAAATGAGCCAAAGTCAAGAGTCTGATGTTTAATCAACTGAGCCACCCAGGTGCCCCTAAATAAGTATTTTTATTGTTGTTATGATTAGTAGAAGACATGTTATTAAATAAATTTTTATAAACATGTAAGAATAATGTGAATATAAAATACCAAAAATGTACCAGTTATTACCTGAAAATTGCCACCTACTGGATTTCAAAATTTTGTTTCTCAGGTTAGAGACTACAATAGTGCATTTAAGTTTACTTAATGTAGTGTTTTCTCTTTTATAGTTTATCAGAGAAGATATGAAATATAAAGATGCTACTAATAAACACAGCCATCTGCACAGAGAAGATAAGCATATAACTGTTGAAGATTTATGGAAGCGGTGGAAAACATCAGAAGGTAAGACTATTTTAGTGAACTGAACCCCTTACCTGCCCTCTGCCTGCGTAGCCATTGTTAACTCACTAATTGCATATGATTTTATGAAAAAATCAAACTACTATTTTCTGTGAGGATATTTATATTTCAGTAAATAGTTTTTCTACTTTTGATTTTGAAAAATGATTTTTATCTTTCTTAGGATTCATTATGGGTCAGCTTGTTTCCAGATATTTGATACCTTATACTGGAATAAGTAAGATAATGCATGTCTGAGAGCTTAAAAGTTGTGGAGTGTTGCTTCAGCTGTTAAGTGACATTATTTTAAAAGGTTTATCAAATAACTCTGGATCCCAAAGTTTTGTTTTTAATTATCACATACAGTTTTCTGAAGTCTTCAGAAGGCACAGAACTTTTAAGCATTTTCTTAAATAATAGCTGCATGATAAAGTTATGTAATTTATATGTTATCATTTTTCTGCCCTTAGATCCTCAAGCTTTCTCATGGACAGTAAATAATCGGGGCAGGAAAAGTATATGACCTGAAACTGCAACTCGATCTCAAATACTAGAAATAAAAAAACGAAGTCCATTAAGCTTATTATTATTATTATTATTATTATTTTATATTTGAGTAATGGAGTCAACCAAAATGTCTTTTTCCAAATGTTTTTATGTTTCTTTTCTTTTATCAGTCAAGCATTGATGTTGTATATATTTTTCTTTGCACATTTGAATAGTGAAATCAAAGGAGGAGGAAGTTGGGACAGACTACCACATAGGAGGATAAAGACATAATAAAGTTTACTAGACTGGTTCTGGTAACATTTGGAAATGGAAAAATACAGAAAACTTGCTTTAGTGCTTGGTATTTGTATTATACATAAGAAGGTTTATAGCTTACTTACATTTTTGTTTTCATTTTTGAAAAGAGGCATCTGTTAAAATACATTGGGAAGAAGGAAAAGAAGGAAAAAAATGTCACTGACTTACTTGAAAGATACATAGACTTTAAAAATCTGTCTCCTCGTTTCCCCTCCCCATACCAATTTTAAGTAATAGGAACTTGGGTAGTACTAAGAGTGAAAGAATATAAATTTCATGGGGGGAATGTGCTAAAATGGTGAAAAGTTTAGTAAAACTTAATCAATGTACAGATGTACCTTGGAGATATCACAGGTTCGGCTCCAGACCACTGCAATAAAGCACGTATTGCAGTAAAGCAAGTCACATGATTTCTTTGGTTTCCCAGTGCATATAAAAGTTACGTTTATACTATACTGAATTCTGTGAAGAGTGCGATAGCGTTATGTCAAAAAAAAAATATAAGATGTACATCCCTTAATTAAAAAGTGCTTTATTGCCAAAATATGCTAACCATCATCTGAGCTTTCAGTTCTAATCTTTTTGGTGGTGGAGGTCTTGCCTCAGTGCTGGTGGCTGCTGACCGACCAGAGTGGTGCTTGCTGGGGGCTGCTGTGGTGTGGCGAGTTCTTAAAACTGGACAGTAAAGTTTGCCACATCCACTGACTCTTCCTTTCGTGTACAGTTTCTCAGTAACATGCAGTGCTGTTTGATAGCATTTTACCCATAGTAGCCCGTTTTTCATAACTGCAGACCCTGACCCTGCTTTCTCAACCTGATTTATGTAATATTCTAAATCCTTTGTTGTCCTTTTACCGGTGTTCATAGCATCTTCACCAGAAGTAGATTCCATCTCAGGAAAACACTTTCCTTGCTCATCCTTAAGAAGCGACTCCTCATCTTTCAAGTTTTATCATGAGATTGAAGCAATTCGGTCCCATCTTCAAGCTCCACTCCTAATTCTGGGTCTTGCTGTTTCCACCACATCTGTGGTCACTTCCTCACATGAAATCCTAAACCTCCCAAAGTCCTCCAGGAGGGCTGGAATCCACTTCTTCCAAACTCCAGTTATTGTTGAGATCTTGCCGCCTTCCCATGAATCACGAATGTTCTTAATGGCATTTAGAGTCGTGAATCCTTTCCAGAAGGTTTTTAATTCACTTCCGCAGACTCATCAGATGAACCTCTATGGCAGGGATAGCCTAATGAAATGTATTTTTTAATGGCAAGACCTAAAAATGGACATTATTCCTTGATTGATGAGCCGTAGAATGGATGTTGTTTTAGTAGGCATGAAAAAACATGAGTCTTGTTGTACATGCCCATCAGAACTCTTGAGTGACCAGGTGCATTGTCAGGGAGTGGTGATACTTTGAAAGGAGTCTTTATTTTCTGAGCAGCAGGTCTCAACAGTGGGCTTAAAATATTTAGTAAATTATGTTGTAAACAGATGTGCTGTCATCCAGGCTTTGTTGTTCCATATATAGAGCACAGGCAGAGTAAATTTAGCAGTTCTTCAGGGCCCTAGGATTTCCATAATGGTAAATGAGCATTGCCTTCATCTTAAAGTCCCCAGCCTCATTAGTGCCTAACAAAAGAGCCAGCCAGTTCTTTGAAGCTGCGAAGCCAGGCACTGATTTCTCTAGCTGTGAAGGTCCTGGATAGCATCTTACAATGTAAAGCTATTTGTTGTTTCGTGTGGCCATGCTGGTCACTTCCCTCCTGGAGAGCTTGCTTCAGCTTCTGCATTAGCACTTGCTGCTTCACCTTGCACTTTCATGTCATGCAGATGGCTTCTTTCTTTAAATCTCATGAACCAACCTCTGCTAGCTTCTAACTAGAAATCTGCAACTTCCTCACCTCTTTCAGGCTTCTCAGAATTGAAGAGAGTCAGGATAGGATCTTGGCTCTGGATTAGGCTTTGGCTTAAGGGAACATCATGGATGATTTGATTTTATATCTAGACCACTAAAACTTTCTCATCAGTAAGACTGTTTCACTTTAATATCATGTGTCCATAGGAGTAGCACTTTTAATTTCCTTCAAGAACTTTCCTTTCCATTGACAACTTGGCTAACTGGCACAAGACACCTAGCTTTCAACCTGTCTCAGCTTTTGATGTACCTTTCTCTCTAGGTTTAATCATTTCTAGTTTTTGATTAATTTATTTTTTTATTAAAAGAATTTTTTAATGTTTACTTATTTTTGAGAGAGAGAAAGAGACAGACAGACAGACATGACCGGGGGAGGTGCAGAGAGAGAAGATGACACAGAATCCAAAGCAGGCTCCAGGCTCTGAGCTGTCAGCACAGAGCCCAACACGGGGCTTGAACTCAAGAACCATGAGATCATGACCTGAGCTGAAGTTGGATGCTTAACTCACTGGGCCACGCAGGCATCCCTCTGGCTTTTGATTTAAAGTGAGAGATGTGATTCTTTCTTTCACTTGAACACTTAGAGGCTATATTATAAGGTTACTAATTGGCCTAATTTCAGTATTGTTGTATCTCAGGGAATAGGGAGGCCCCAGGGGAAGGGGGGGAACAGCCAGTTGGTGGAGCAGTCAGAATACACACAGCATTTATCAGTTAAGTTTGCCATCTTATGTGGGTGCTGTTTATGGCACCCCAAAACAGGACAGTAATAACATAGAGATCACTATAACAAATATAATAATGAAAAAGTTTGAAACAGTGTGAGAATTACTAAAATGTGACACAGAGACAGGAAGTGAGCAAATGCTGTTGGAAAAGTGGTGCCGATAGACTTGCTTCTGCAGGGTTGCTGCAGACCTTCAATTTGCAAAAGGCAAGATCTGTGCAGTGTGTGTGGCATGCGGTAAGTAGGAGTGTGGTAGAACACGGCCTGCCCGGGTACGGACTGTCTGCAGTATGGAGGTACTACTGAGGGGATCAGAGCCATTATAGCGTCTGTGGCTACTAGTATATTTTAGATTTTGGATAAGTAATAAGTTGAGTGGAAGTAACTTAGCTATGTTTGAATGAAGGAAAAAAGATGTGATCCTTTGTTACCACCCGGGGTACCCCCCCCCCCCATTCAGCCCCATCTCTTGGTTGGGTAATTGCAGCAGCTGCCCTGGGTCCCCCTCTGCGTGCTTGTGCTGCGCTGCATTCCTCACTCAGCCTCACAGGGTAATCTACTTCAAACCACGTCAGGTTTGCTTCTTGCCCTGTGGTGGCTCAGAGTAAAAGCCAAATCTTTACAAAGACCCATAAGCCCCTACCTGACCTGCCAACACCGCTGCCCCCCTCCTCCCCCCCCCCACCCCCACGAGCTCCTCTCTTCCCTGTCATGTCCTGCTTATCTGTCTCACTCACGCTGCTCTGTCCCTGCCGGACTCCTGGCTGTTCCCCACGGCAGGACTGCTCGTGTCCTCACGGACCCTCAGTGAGGCTCACTGTCACCTCTCTGTTTAAGACGGCAGGTCAAGCTCCTTCCGTCCCCTTCTAGCCTTGTTTTTTGGCATGCTTATCTCTCTTAGTCAGCTTCATGTTTTCTCTTTCCCGTATCATGTATCATCTTCTAAGGTATTATATAATTGACTTATTCGTTATGTTGGTGTCCTTTCTGCTGCCTCTGAGAATGCAAACTGCAGAGAGCAGGGGTTCTTTGTTTATTTTTTTAATTAATGTGTTCCCAAATCATGGGACTCTGTCCTCAAACCGTGTTTTGGTTTTTGACCTTAGGGAGTTTGGTGAGATTTTTTGTGATCTATAAGCATGTTTTGTTTTGTTGTGGCTTAAGGCCTTTCCAAGTTCAGTAGCCTCTTAAATCACTTTCTCCCTGGGCTTCCACCTTAATTTCCACCCCCTAAAATTTTTACCATTATGATGCTGAGAAGATTTTCATCTAACTCACCAAAGATTTGGCCTAAATTTTGTATTATATGCTGCTTTTTCTCCAAACCGCAGTCTCTCACATTACCTCCTAGGGAAGTAGCACATGGGAGGAGGGGTCTGAGGGCTCCTACTAAAACAGCTGCATGCAAGGAAAGAGAGAAGCGAATCTCAGATAAAATAAACCTCTGTTAGAAGCTTTATAGTGACCTAATTGATTTTTTTTTTTCCTAATTGATTTTTTCAATCCATGTGAGACATCTTATTAAAGGACTCATGTAAAGGTGGGACATTGTTGCT